TATATATATATATATATATATATCGTCGCGGCATTGTTGATACGCTGTAAAACTTTTGTAATTTATGCGAAGATTGGAAGAGAGATTCCCTCATGTTTAAATCTGAACTATATACTTTCCCTATCCGCAATTTTCCGGACCAACTTTCATAAAGTTGACGTTATCAAGAAGGTATATTTTTACTTAATTACATGTTTCCTTGTTCCTTCATAATCTCTCGGTTCTGAGATTGAATTTTTATTATAAAAAATTTTTAATTAAGATTGACGAAAGATTTACTTGTGTAAGATAAATAACAAGTTCTTGTCATTTTTTTATTTTCAGTCGTTCATAATTCAAGAATTTTTTATCTTGCGGCTAATTGTATTTTTCTCCATTGGTCTCCAGCTAAGAGGAGATGCGCGATATTGGAAATGATCCTTGTGATGTTCCTTGAACGTCTCCTCATCCTTATTACATTTGGATTGCGAAATCGCCATCAGGAGAGAGGAACGTGATGGTATTAATAGCATTAACGATATTCAACGATGGAGGCGTGGTGGAATTGCTGAAGCTGATCATCCTCATCAGCGACGTATCAATCGCGCGTCGATGTCCCTCGCGGCGATAACCAGTTTTATTCAAAGGAAAAGGAGGAGCAAGAGACGGAAGGATACGCGATGATGCTAAAGACAGAGCGTAATAGTTATCACACGCGGTACGCAGGTGTATACATACACGTGTACGTAGGTGTGCGCACATCTATAGTCACCAATCTCTGTAAAGGGCAATGTCCTATCGTGGCCGTTCGCGGTGAGTTCGTTTCCCCGATCTGTCCGTCTCGCGGCTTGGCGCCTATTACCGTAACCTTGCCCTTGCTCTTTCCTCTCGCTCACGCTTCCGCCTTGGGAACCGAATCAACGCTGTCGCAGGATCGCCGCCGGTCTTTGGGGAACGACCTTCGATTTCTGGAAATTCCCCGGAGGGTCGACGTACCGTACGCCTTATGTGACTATCTCCGTCCCCGATTGAAGAATACAAAATCCGAATTTTGGCATTTAAGAATTCCCGACGGTAAGAATCTTATTCCCGATAGATGCTATTTATATACTGCGGTGATAAAAAAAAGATTAAGAAAGGTAAAAAGTATTAAACAAACGAAAAAATAATACCAACGATCTTTATGTATTTTTGATCTCTAAGAGAGCTTATTGATTTAAAAAAGAAAATGAAAATTACATTAGAATTAAAGAAAATTAGATTTACCACACTGCAATTTTTTTCGTGATTTTCTCTTTATATTTAAATACATATTCACATTGTTATTGTCGTTTAAGTATTTTATTGATCAAGTAGCTTAATAGATACATGCAGTAAATCTTCGCACATGTATACTTTATATAAGACGATAATTATCTCGCATTCAGCGTATTTTACGTGCTAAATTAAATAATTCGTTGCTCTTCTCATTTTATATGGGATGATTCTTGCACTAATAAGCAAAAAAAAATGCTTTCTATCAGCTGATGTAATAAATCTGATATAAAATTCATGCTAAATAAAAAATAAAATATCATATGAGAAGTAATCGCATGATAATAACTAATATATTTTGATGTTTAAGATCTACAGCCATGGGGGAACTTAAAGCTAAAGAGAATCGGCTGATTCGTCGAACTGGCAGACGCCGAACGCGTCGCGATGTCTTCCTGGACCGCAGTTCTCAACGCCGTCGCCTAGCAGTCTGAGTTCCTGCTGCTTCTCCTCGGCCAGCGGAGACACGTCGTTTTTCTCAGCGTTCGAAGAAGACAGTGCGACGTCCTCTTCCCCAGATAGCTGCTTCTTTAACGATGGTTTTCCAGGTTCATCGTCAGGATTCCAAACCACGTTCCCAACCATGCTCCGAGCCCGGCCATTGCCTCCTGTCTTGGGTCTGGACGTCTTCCTCGCGTTCATGAAGTATCCCGGAAGAGTCGGCACCTCGCGGCTTTTCGGAAAGTCGAAATTCTTCACATTTCTTGCGATTCTGTCGATTTTTTCAGTTTGCCCATCACCGACAAGTGCCAGTTGTTGATCCAAGATGTTCAACGTTTTCGTATCTCCTTCCACTTTTCGTACCGAATTTTCTTTATCTAGATAATTCTCATTTATCTGAATTTCCGCAGAATAGGGCTCCTCTTGGTGAACCTCATCACTGGATTTGATCGCTCCTTGTCCTTTCGATCGAGCGTTTACCGCTGCCTGGATAGCATGCCATGCTAGATCACTTATGTCGTTAGCGCTGGTACTACCGCTACTACCTGGGAAGAGCACAACGAAGAGGAGGTTCTTTATCGTACCGTGCCCGTTGATCTCGCCATCCTGCCGTTGATCGTATTTTGCCGGAGCGGCGCCAACCTTGGCGAACGCGAAGAACGCCGTACCGAGGAAAAATAGCATCTGGACTATCGCCATCCTCGTGATGTATACACGTCGATCGCACACGCTACGCTGTGATGCGTGTAGGTGAGCGAGATGAGAGATGCAACGAAGTTCGACCTTGCAATACAATGCTCTTCGAGCAACGCGAGCGATGGCGCGCCCCCGCCGTACTCGGTGAGACCGTTGCACGAACCGGTACGCGGAATCTGTATGATAGGGGGATCCATCTCACCATAGGATTACTTATAGGACACATCGCCACGTCGATTGGCGTGGGAACGATACCGATCGCCTGTACATCGATATCGTTATGGACCATCGCGGATTTCAACGACGCAGCTAATTACGAGTTAAAAACAAACGTTTAAGCAGAAACCTCGAGCTGATGATAAGAAGAATCAAGAGTTAAAATGAACGGAGGAAAAAATACAAGCTTGCACGAGATAAGAGAGGTCTTTTTAGCTGAACTTCTTTTCTTTCTACGTTAGAGAAAAAAAAAAGAGAGGATGAATCGTGTAAAAAGTTCAGCTAAAAAAAATACGTTTATATAAGAATATGCGTGCGCTTGCGTTCTGTGAGTATACTTTAATCATGTATTACCTCTTTTAGGAAAATTCTTTTGTCCGGAACTGTAAAACAAAATAAGGAAGCGCGTCAAGTACTCGGAGATAATTATCGTATTATAAAAATGCAAATGGGATTGTTTCACGATGTGAAGGCAAACATGGCGTAAATTCGATGCATATATGGCACACCTTCAAAGGACACTTGTTTTTAAATTTACTCCTCCTAGTTTTTGCCGTCTGAATCCGGTCGATCGAGGGAGGACCGATCGATCAGAGTGGGACATTCGGTCGTACTCACGGCAACAAGCGATTCAACCACGATCGACAGCGACCGTTGCCGTTCGGAACATATCCAAATTTGCAGCGCTTTTGCGACCGCACGGCGTGCGCGGATTTCACCGTGGTCGAAGGTGTTCCGGCTCCAGCTTCCTGTTGACTCTTATCGTCATCGTTATCCGCATTCGGCGTCGAGCTCGTGGTACCAATCAACGAATCAGCGTTCGGGATCTCTTCGTCTTTGGACGGCGTCTTGTCGTTCTCGGTACCATTCGATGGATTAGCATTCGGGGCTCCTTCGGATAGCGTTATGTCGCTCGTGGTCGGGCTTGAATTATTGACAGACTCCGAGACGGTTGAATTTTGTGACGGCAGCGGCTCGGAAACTTGCGTGACATCATTTTTCTCCGTCGTGGAACTCGCGATAGGCCTGTTTCCCGGTGGCTTGATGGTAAAGTCGGCGTAATCATATAAGTAATCGTAATCCTGCGAAAGCAAGGACGATGTCGACGGTGATTTTTCAGTGGTACTCAAAGCAATCTATTTATTATTAAATGAAATATGTAATTTGTATAACGCATTCTGAGTACAAAATGTCTAAAATGGATTTTGTAAATTACAGGCTCGCTTCAATCTCGTATCAAAATCATCATATATACATATATGTAGAACTAACGCAGTTACAAACTGAAGAAAAGCTTCGACTATTTCATCAACGGTAAGTTGAAGCGCAACAAAATAAAAAAATATATCATAGTGAAATTTAATTTTTATGCTTTCTCGAATAAAGAAAGAAATGTAAAATAATTTGAGAAAAAAAGAAACAGGAAAAAACTATGAGAAAAATTATAAAATACGTCCTAGTTAATAAAGAAAGAAAAAGACTAAAAAAGAGGAAAGGATTTACCGTATAATCGTCCAGAAGCTCGGAGTTGACCAGCGCAATCACCTGCAGGTCCTTCAGGTCAATCTGCACGTTCACATCGCCGGTCTGTCGCTGATCGTAGACCGCCTTGGCCAGTGCGGGAGGAATCGCGATGGTGACGAGACAGGTCGCGAGGAAGCCGTGTAGGGCGAGCATGATCGTCTGTGATCGATCCTGACGTGAAGAGGACTGAAAAATGGATGGTAGCGAACACCCTGGGGGCCCCAACCTGATGTGCCTCACCGCCTCCGGCGGGAACCCGCTGACGAGACAGCCGGTTCGCTCTCGGGACACGATTCAGTCCCGCGTTCGCACTTACATACAAAACCGGTATACACACCGCCCGGTGGACACCTCGTCTCGTATTCCTGTGTCTCTCTGTCACCTCCCGGCGTTCGTACAGTACGATGCCCGGCCATTGCCCTCTCGTCGCTACGCGGTCTACCTTGACAGCCGGCCTTCGGAACGCGTATAACATCGCGTGTGTACACGCAATCGGATCGTCGCTCACGTATATTTTAGTATACGCTTTCGTACCTCGGTCATCAGAAGTGTTTGCACGTGCCCGTAACGATCTCGAGAGAATCCGGACAGGCGGGACAGTATCGTCCACTTGGCACCTGCTCGAGAGATTCACTCATTCGAGAGAGAGAGAGAGAATGCTTTTTAGATATATAAATAGAGTAAAGAGATCTGCAAGAGGGAACGAAGTGCTCTTGAAAGAATTGCAACGTATGAAACTTTACAATGTATCGTTTTGTAATTCGTTGCTCCTCTCAAGGAAAATATGTCTTTCAAATATTAAAGTAGAACATATAAGTCATATATATATATCCTGACAAAACGACTCTAAATTAATTACTGGAAAATTATTAAAAAATTACTTTACAATTAATAACTATTCATTTTAATTGACGTTATCATGACTTGTCTGCTCAGGTACATATAATCTTAATAAAAATCTTTCAATGCCTATTAGAGCTGATACAGGATATTATGTGTAATAACCAATTTATTAATAAACAATAAAATTGTATAATTATGACATCAGGTAAACGTTTCGACCCTATTATTTGGGTCCTCTTCAGTACCAAAAAAACACCAAAAAAAATTATATAAATAAATGTGTAGAGTAAGTATGTAACAGCAAGGTTGAAAGTTGCGAAGATTGTGTCCATTTCAAATGCATGACAAGAATTTGGCAGAATTGATGTCATGAATAAGGAAATGGGCTGACGTACATTTCAGAGATGCATCCCTTCATTAATTGAACAATCAATGACGATAGATTCGACGCGAACTTAACCGTCAGAAATCACAGTTAGTAATGAGATTTATAATGAGATAAATGCATGACATCAATTCTGCCAAATTCTTGTCATGCATTTAAAATGGACACAATCTTCGCAACTTTCAACCTTGCTGTTACATAGTTACTCTACACATTTATTTATATAATTTTTTTTTGTGTTTTTTTGGTACTGAAGAGGACCCAAATAATAGGGTCGAAACGTTTACCTGATGTCATAATTATACAATTTTATTGTTCATTAATAAATTGATTATTACACATAATATCCTGTGTCGGCTCTAATAGGCATTGAAAGATTTTTATTCAGATTATTTCTAGAGAGCCTTTATCTTTGATCTATTGTATATATAATCTTATTGTGAGATGTAGGCTGTAATTCGGTGAAGGAATATCCGAGGAACGATACAGAAAATCTCTGGCGCTAATCCGGATTTTAATTTTAATTAGACCTGTCTTCTGAATTTATTTAAAATTCTAATACCCGTTTTCACTAATGTTCTAATTTTTAAAGCTAAAAAAATGAAGAGAAATTGAAGTGAGATTAGAATTAATATACATTGATAGAAATAGGCATAATGGTTGTGAAACTGAAAGTATGAATTTCATAAATATGTATTATATGGAGTATATATAAATTAACAAAACAGAGACGCCCGCAATAATTAATTATTTTATTTTTTCGGAAATATCAGATATAAATGTTACAAATAAAATTATCAAACACAAATAGCAATGTAAAAATATTCCAAGAAATAGAATTACAGTTTAAGGACTATTCTCTTTAATAACGCGCCGTAATCTGCTTGTCTCTTTTTCATAAGCAGTCATATTTTAATATGCGTGATAAATTTCACAAGAAAAAAAGCGCATCAAATACATGAAATAAATAAAAGAAATATATGAGATTTTCACAATTTAATATAAAATTCCGACAATCTTCTGAAGCATTCGAAAAAAGCGCGCATATAAGTGCCAGTAGTTTCTCTCGCTACAAGTGCACTTTCCACACTTTCCCTTCACCCCTCGCCTATATTCGCGCCGTTGGAGCGCGAAAGTGCACGTCAAACACATTTAATTTCATTCTTCATAGTTAAATTTTTCATACAGTTCTTTCCTCCTTTTTCTCTTTTCAACTTCCAATTATTTATCCATTTCATTCCAAGTGCAGGGAGGTATGATATAGTACGGATGGTACAGATACAAAGAACAGGTCTCGCGGGGGTTGAAGAAGGAAGTGTAGGCGGCCCGCGGATTCTCGCATTGCTGCACCTGCTTACACCTTACGCGAGTGTGTGTTGTAATCGGCGAGAATGCAAACAACAGTAATCTGTCATCTCGCACGCCTAATAATGACGCCGAGGCGAAATGTCGCGCGCCGCCGCGTGCGCGCCTAGCCCCGGGTGCGGAACGTCGTCGTCGTCAGCGGGATCCGCGCAGCGCGGAGGCTCGGGACCGTCGTCGTCGTCGCCCGAACCGCGATCCCGATCGCGCGGCACAGCCTGACACTTTCGGAGCGGTGCCGTTAACGCGCTCCGTGGGATGCGCTCCTGCCGCATTCGTAAAGCATCATCCGTTGTTTACCTTTCGACAACCCTCGCGTCATCGGCGACCTTTATCATGTTACGCGCTGACACGAACGATGCTCCAATTTTTTAAGAAGATTGGTAATTATATCATACGTCGCTTTTATGTCGCGACGTAAATTACGAAGCGGACGAATCATCTTCGTCTAGCACGCACAATCTTAAGTGTCCAAGCCTGACCTTCTGACATTTCCAACACGCAACATGTTTTCCTTTTATTTTGTTTCTTCTTTTATTCTTGTTTCTACTGAGATATTTGGAAATTGCGTTTCATTATTCAAATTGAAATTTACCTATTTATATATATGTAATATTTTATACACACACGC